CTGTATAGTGTTTTTGCTATGATATTTTTGTTGACTTATTTACTTTTTAACTTCATTATTACATTTGCTATTTACTACAATATTAAAGACTATGTATATGGATGTTTTTGCACTTGCAAGAATAATGCTGATGGGTGGTATTCCTCAGGAATTGTGCAGTATGTAGTATGAATGATTTTTAATTAAAAACTACTAAACAAGGTATTTATATTTGTAATCTTGGTGTGCAGTAAAATTATTTAACTTATTTGTACATGTGTATAATGGACATTTAAAAAGCCCATAATCTAATTTTGCCTGGGGTCTCCAACTGCTGCAAATCCATCTATGAATATAGCTTAAGCAGGGTTATTTACTAATATGATAATTATTGGGAATTAAAAATAAATTAAAAAATTTAAGGCCAAAGAAGCTGAACTGGAAGCATAGATGAGTTGGAGAATATTTCCAGTTTGGCTAATTTGTCCTTAAATTTGACATTCGAAAGGTTCGAAACCATTGATGATGTGCTATAAAGCAATTGTAAAGGTAACTAAGGAATCAAAGTTGAATTTCATTGCCCAATAAGAAAAAGAGCTCCTCTGGGAATTCTCAGCTGATGGGTGGAAGTTGGCCTTCTGCATACTAAAAAAAACTACTCATTGTCTTATTCATTTAGAATTGGCATATATGATATGGTTGAGGTAATACTTAATGCCACACAAACTTGATTGCATATACCTCAACACAACACCTTTATGCTGGAAGTGCGGGGAAGTAACAGGAACCATGAATCATGTATTTTGGCAGTGCAGTAAAATAACCTCCTTTTGGGAGAATATTCAGACCCTTTTATGTAAACTAACAGACCAGAAACTACCTCTACTCTTACACATGATATCCCCTATGTACAAAGACATGGAAGGCCTATCATAATACAAACTTTAATTACAGCCAAATGTAGCATTGCGGGTATGTGGAAACAGAAATAGTGATTTTCATAGTGTTCGAGAGATCGGACAATTTAATAAAGAAGAGATTGCACACTAGATTGCTCTAAGAGATAACTGGACAAAACACAACATTATGAGGCTATGCCCCTTAGATTGGAGGGCAAGGAGGAATTGCATGAATACATATGGGCGAAATGGCTCTTATTGAGGCACAGGTTCTAACGAGAAAAAAAAAAAGGTCTAGAGTAAATTTTATTCAGGGCACCCGGGTGCTAAAACATAGACTGAGTTACAACCTTTACAACAGTTGTCCCTTACATGCACATCTCAGGGCATATATTTGACAGATGCAGCATTGTTTCGTATTTCCCTTTCTTTTCCTTTGTTATGTTAACTTTTTAATTTGATTCTTTGATATTTGCCTACTTTTCATTGATAAATATGGCATAGCGTATACATCCATCAAGGATTAATGATGACTAGATATTAAGTGTAGAAGGGAGATCAAGGGGCACATTCTTGCTTCCTACACATAGTGGTGTTTACAACTTGACTTATATAGCATTATACACTGACAATATGTATGGTAAAAACATTTCTGATGATGGCGAGTCTGAGTATGCATTATATGTGTTTGTGACTCCTATGTTGTGAATTGATCTTCTGTATGCTAACTCTCTACACATTATGAATGTTCATTCTGTGTATTTTATTTGTCAATACATAATATGAAAATAAAAGTAAAAACTATTCATGGAAAAAAATAAATAAATTCATTTTGAATTCCCAACATTTCTCACCTTCGTGAATAACCTCAATAACTGATAAAACTCAAGAGCAAAATTATAAAAGGGTTATTTATTCACGTCCGAGAGCATGAGGATAGCAACATTCAAAGAGTGTTCTCAAGATTTAGAATTGTCTGAATTTTGCAAAACAAACTCAGAATTCGATCAAGTGTTATCCAGATTTTAGTCTGTTAAAATGTGACAGAATGGTTAAAGTCTGAATTAATTAAATATGCTACCAAATACTCAGATTCAACAGAATTGGTCACTGTCTTCCTGCAAGTTTGATTCAATTAAATTTACACACCTCAGTTCATCTGGATTTACTGTCAGGTAGAGGCCAATTCTAATACAAACTACTTACAAAGATGTCTGTCATTAGCACCGGCAGTACACCGCAGCAATACGTAACTCGAACGAAGATTACGTATTGCTGGCTGGCTACTGGGGAGACTGGCTACTGGGAGAGTGGTCACCGGGGAGAGACTGGCTACTGGGGAGAGAGACTGGCTACTGGGGAGAGACTGGCTACCGGGGAGAGACTGGCTACTGGGGAGAGACTGGCTACTGGGACTGGCTACTGGGAGAGACTGGCTACCGGGGAGAGACTGGCTACTGGGGAGAGAGACTGGCTACCGAGACTGGCTACTGGGGAGAGACTGGCTACTGGATGGGGAGACTGGCTACTGGGGGGAGAGACTGGTTAGTGATAGAAGAGGCTGGCTAGTGATAGAAGAGGCTGGCTACTGGGGGGGAGAGGCTGGCTACTGGGGGGGAGAGACTGGCTACTGGGGAGGGGAGAGACTGGCTACTGGGTGGGGAGAGACTGGCTAGTGATAGAAGAGGCTGGATACTGGGGGGGAGACTGGCTAGTGCTAGGAGAGACTGGCTAATGGTGGAAGAGTGTATAACAGAGCTCCACAGCGATAATACTCCCAGTAATGTGTCTGAGTATATAACAGAGCTCCACAGTAATAATACTCTCAGTAACGTGTCTGAGTGTATAACAGAGCCCCACAGCAATAATACTCCCAGTAATGTGTCTGAGTGTATAACAGAGCTCCACAGCAATAATACTCCTAGTAATGTGTCTGTATAACAGAGCTCCACAGCAATAATACTCCTAGTAATGTGTCTGTATAACAGAGCTCCACAATAATAATACTCCCAGTAATGTGTCTGAGTATATAACAGAGCTCCACAGCAATAATACTCCTAGTAATGTGTCTGAGTGTATAACAGAGCCCCACAGCAATAATACTCACAGTAATGTGTCTGAGTGTATAACAGAGCTCCACAGCAATAATACTCCCAGTAATGTGTCTGAGTGTGTAACAGAGCCCCCACAGCAATAATACTCCCAGTAATGTGTCTAAATGTGTAACAGAGCCCAACAGCAATAATATTCCCAGTAATGTGTCTGGGTGTATAACAGAGCTCCACAGCAATAATACTCCCAGTAATGTGTCTGAGTGTATAACAGAGCCCCACAGCAATAATACTCCCAGTAATGTGTCTGAGTGTATAATAGAGCTCCACAGCAGTAATACTCCCAGTAATGTGTCTGAGGGTATAAAAGAGCTCCACAGCAATAATACTCCCAGTAATGTGACTGAGTGTATAACGGAGCTCCACAGCAATAATACTCCCAGTAATGTGTCTGAGTGTATAACAGAGCCCTACAGTAATAATACTCCCAGTAATGTGTCTGAGTGTATAACAGAGCCCCACAGCAATAATACTCACAGTAATGTGTCTGAGTGTATAACAGAGCTCCACAGCAATAAGCCTCCCAATGTGTGTCACGAGTGTATAACAGAGCCCCACAGCAATATACTCCCAGTAATGTGTCTGAGTGTATACTTGAGCCCCACAGCAATAATACTCCCAGTAATGTGATATGCGTGTATACTTGAGCTCCACAGCAATAATACTCCCAATGTGTCTGAGTGTATAGCGAGCTCCACAGCAATAATACTCCTAGTAATGTGTCTGAGTGTATAGCGAGAGCTCCACAGCAATATACTCTAGTAATGTGTCACAGAGTGTATAACAGAGCCCCAACAATATACTCCCAGTAATGTGTCACGAGTGTATAACAAGAGCCCCACTTATAATAATACTCCCAATGTGTGTCTGCGTGTGCAGCAGAGCTCACAATATACTCCCAATATGTGTCTGAAGGTATATAACAGAGCCCCACAGCAATAATACTCCCCAGTAATGTGTCTGAGTGTATACTTTCGAGCCCCACAACAATAATACTCCCAATGTGTCACAGAGTGTATAACAGAGCCCCACAGCAATATACACTCCCAATGTGTGTGTCTGAGTGTATAACAGAGCTCCACAGTAATAACTCCCAGTAATGTGTCTGAGTATAAGCAGAGCTCACAGCCAATAATACTCCCAATGTGTGTCTGAAGTGTATAACAGAGCTCCCAGCAATATACTCCCAGTAATGTACATGAGTGTATAACAAAACCCCCAGCAATATATACTCCAATATGTGTCTGAAGTGTATAACAGAGCTCCACAGCAATATACTCCCAGTAATGTGTCTGGTAGCACCTTGACACAGCAAGCCATACTCCCAGTATGTGTCTGAGTGTATAACAGAGCTCCCACAGCAATAATACTCCCAATGTGTGTCTGAGTGTATAACAAACCCCACAGCAACCTCCCAGCCAATGTGTCTGAGTGGCAACAAGCCCCCACAGCAAAATATACTCCCAATGTGTGTCACAGTGGCAACAGAGCCACGGTAATAATACTCCCAAGTAATGTGATACGAGTGTATAACAGAGCTCACAGCAATAATACTCCCAGCCAATGTGTCTGAGTGTATAACAGAGCCCCACAGCAATAATACTCCCAATATGTGTGCAGAGTGTATAACAGAGCTCCCACAGCAATATACTCCCAATGTGTGTCTAGAGTATGTAACAGAGCTCCCACAGCAATAACCTCCCAATATGTGTCTGAGTGTGCCAACAGAGCCCCCACAGCAATATACTCCCAGTAATAATGTGTCTGAGTGTATAACAGAAACTCCCACAACAGCATGCCAATGTCTGTCTGAAGTGTATAACAGAGCCCCACAGCAATAATACTCCCAGCTGTGTGTCTGAGTGTATAACAGAAGCTCCACAGCAATATACTCCCAGTAATGGCCAATGCAGGGAGTGTATAACAAGAGCTCCCACAGCAATAATACTCCCAGTAATGTGTCTGAGTGGCAAGCAGAGCCCCACAGCAGCCAACCTCCCCGGCTGTGTGTCACGAGTGTATAGCAAACCCCACAGCAATAATACTCCCAGTAATGTGTCATTTTATAACAAGAGCACACAGCAATAATATTCCCAGTAATGTGTGTCTGAGTGTATAACAGAGCTCCACAGCAATAATACTCCCAGTAATGTGTCTGAGTGTATAACAGAGCTCCACAGCAATAATACTCCCAGTAATGTGTCTGAGTGTATAACAGAGCTCCACAACAATAATACTCCCAGTAATGTGTCTGAATGTATAACAGAGCTCCACAGCAATAATACTCCCAGTAATGTGTCTGAGTGTATAACAGAGCTCCACAGCAATAATACTCCCAGTAATGTCTGTGTGTATAACAGAGCCCCACAGCAATGATACTCCCAGTAATGTGTCTGAGTGTATAACAGAGCTCCACAGCAATAATACTCCCAGTAATGTGTCTGAGTGTATAACAGAGCTCCACAGCAATAATACAGTAATGTGTCTTTAAAAACGACATTGTTCTTCTTCTAAATTACATTTTAGTTTTATATATTATTATTAAGTCACACAAAACCAAACTGATCCTTTTTTTTTGCCCAGCAATCACCACATGCCCTGAGTGGTGAAAACTGAGGTTTACATAGTTATAAGGTGTCAGCAGGCAGACACTGAGAGCCAGGCATGCCCTGAGCATGCCCTGAGCTGACTATTCCGCCATATTGGATGTCATAGTGTGATGCGTTCCAGCCCAGGCGCGCTTCCGCGTTCCACTCAGCGCGCATGCGTGGAACGCACGCGTGTTTGCGTTCCAACCGCCCGCGCATGCGCGCTGCTTCCGTTCCCATGGAGACCTGCTAACTCTGTCAATGCCTGTGTTGTTGCAGTGTTAACAATTCCCAGTTTTATACACAGAAGATATCCCTCTATGGAGAAGTACAAGGTAAGCTGTTTATAAACAATATATTAATCCTGGCTGTGTCCTCTAACTGGCAAGGAAAGGGTTAATTCTCAGCACAGAGAAGGGGGAGCTAAATATCACCCCAATATCACCCCAAAATTGTCCCCTCCCCCACCCCCCCCAGAGAGCTCCATAAAGGGTCAGGTCTATTCAAGGAGGGGAAAAAAGTGAAAATGGCAATATTTTAAATTATTCCAGAAATTTTTATTTTATAAGTTTTGGGGCAACAGATTTTAGCCCAAATCTCCCAAAAATAGTAAATATAAAAAAACATTTCAAGCTGATTTTTAACTCTGATAAAATATATTAAATACACTGTATATATATACACACTTCAGCAAAATAAAAACCGGTATAAACATTTGAATACTAACTTCATTCAGACAATACGAGATGAATACAAGTTACTTTTGACGTCTATAATGACTAAAGGTGCTCAAAGTGTTTGCCATTAGCGTTCAGGCACTTATTACTCTTAGGACTTTTCGTCCTTTCCAGCGTCTTTGAAACGGCATGTGCTGCAATTGATTGGTTTTTTTTTCTTGCTGATGTCTTTGGAATTTTGGCAGATTTTGGAAGAATGGAGACCAGGAACATTTGGGGAGACCTGTATTGGCGAGGAAATTGGAAGCAAAAAGAAATGTGTTTTAAAGAAGGTGAGAAATCTATTGACATTTTCCAGCGCATGAGCTAAAATTTCAGTGATCACAAATGGCAGAATTTCTTCCCAGTTATGTGACTTTTTGTCAAAGTTCATTAAAGTTATCGGTAACTATATTAAATATTAAAAGTCATTGGTTGCACTCTGCTATTTTTGAGCTTGGCTATTTTGACCTATAAATTGGAATCCACTTGTCGATTTTTCATAGTTCCAAGTTAAGTGAATAATAACGCAATGCTCGTTGCCTTCTGCTATGTAACTTGATCAATGGCTAAAGGCAGCCAGCAGTCAAGTTACAAATAGTTACTTGTGAGTTAAACAAGGAGGGTTTAACTACTGGAAACAATGCTACATTCTGTTTGAGTTTTACCTAGGTTTCAGAAATAAGGCCTTAATTCACGGTGAGCATTTTGGAAATAACAACTTTTAGCTAGATTTTTTTTTCAATAATTTTACCAATAAAAAATGCTAAACATAGGAACGCAATGTGTGGAATTGTTTGAGCAACTCACTGCAAAAGACGTGCAACTAAATAGTTTTAGAATTCAGTGTGGTTTGTTAATATCACTTATAATGTTTGTTTCATAGGTGGAGTGCATGGATGAGCAAGAGGCAAACCTGGCATTAAAAGAGGTAAGTATGTTACTGATTGCAAATAACTGTTTAGTAGATATACCCCTAACGAAAACATAGTTGCATTTAATTATGCATATATTCATTGGTGTATATCTGAAAACAGATTGCAAAACCTGAATATCCCTTGTCTACAGCCTTTGCAAGCCCTCCCCTTCTAACCCCGCCTACTTTTGAAAAATTAAAGGAGAACTATAGTGCCAGGGAAACAAACTCGTTTTTCTGGCACTATGGGGTCATTAGGTCCCCCCCACCCTCAGGGCCCCCCTCCCGCCGGGCTGAAGGTGTTAAAACCCCTTCAGCCACTTACCTTTCTCCAGTGCCAGTCTCCCTCGGCGCTGGGGAGCTCTCCTCCTCCTGCCGACGTTAGTGCCGAATGTGCATGCGCGTGCGCGGCAAAAGCCGCGCGCATTCAAGTAGCCCATAGGAAAGCATTACTCTATGCTTTCCTATGGACGTCCAGCGTCTTCTCACTGTGATTTTCACTGTGAGAATTGTGGAAGCGCCTCTAGCGGCTGTCAGGGAGACAGCCGCTTGAGGCTGGATTTACCCTCAGTGTAAACATAGCAGTTTCTCTGAAACTGCTATGTTTTCAGCTGCAGGGTTAAAACCTGGGGACCTGGCACCCATACCACTTCATTAAGCTGAATTGGTCTGGGTGCCTATAGTGGTCCTTTAAAGTAAGACATAAACATCTTTGCCTTACATTACATTTTGTCTTTGTACTTTAGTTCATGGTTCTGCTTGATCTGCATCATCCCAACATCTGTCCGTATAAGGAATTCTTCATAACCTGGGATAATAAGGTAAACCATGATCCTATTGTTTCACTGGAAGCATATCTGTCTAATGAAGCTGTTTTGGAATAATGAGAAAACACACAATTTTAAGCCACTTGAGTTATATAAACGATTAGTATGTGTTTTATTTCTCTGGAGTTAGCTGGTTATGTACACTGATTTAAATGCTGTATCTGCCGGAGCTTCCATAGTCTGCTACTGTCGACATGTACTTGGCAGACGCTATGACATCTCTGGAAACATTGGTAAGTACTATTAACAGTATAACTGTCACTATGTAACACAGTGAAGAAGGATACATTCAATAAATATCTTATTGCCATGTACAGGGTCTTTCATTCTAAATGTCACCTTGCTGGTAATGACAATAGTATTGCTCCCTCCTCAGATCTCCTCTCTCTTCCTTTACCTGGTAATGGACTATTCTGATAATGGCCATTTGGATGTCATGCTGCAAGAGTACAGGCAAGCCAAGACCAAAATAGACGAAAAGGTACATAGTGAAATAAAGTAATATATTTAGGATCAGTCCCTGTGACCTTAACATATGTTACATATGATGTCATCTTATGTTGCACACTCTGCCTGTGTCAAAAATATGACACTTTACATATGATGTAATCGCATTGTGCATAATCTCTCAGTGACAAATATAAAATTGGTTTGATATGATGTCATCTCAACATCCATAGTCTCCCAATGACAATAAAAATACATGATGTCATGATGTGATGTCATCTTGTCATTGTCTCCTAGTGACAAATATAAGACATGTTCGATATGATGTCATCGCATAGTCTCATCATAATCTCCCACTGAACGTAAGACATGCTGAATATGATATGATCTCATACTATACAGTCCTGCTGTGACCCATTTCTGTTATTTTGCTCTCTATAGATTTGTTTTCCTTTCTTAACAGACAATTCAGCTTTTTCTCGGCCAGATGATTGATGTGCTGGTCTATATTCATAAACAGAAAGTCCTCCACAGGTAGGTCCTGACAATTCTTCATAAAAGGAAAATAATCAGGGTTGTCGCTAACATTCAAATCTGGATTGCAACATTTAAGGCCATAATAGCCAAGTTGTGACTATAACAGAGTTAGAGGACTTTCTAAAATTAATAGTTTTAGCCTAAATTTTGCAATTTAAATTTTAAAAAGCAGCAGTTTAGAGTTTAATAATCCTGCCTGATTTTAATGAACTATTTTATATATGTTTAGGTTTTCTGTTTATGGTATTAAACCTTTCGAAAAAGGCTAAATACTCCGTTGTGTGTTTAAAAAATAAACATACTGGTAAACGCTAGCACTAGGGACCATTGGACGGAGTGAACAAATATCTCCAAATAGGTTTCCCCAGGGCTGAATGTCACCACAACTTGTAATGAGTGCGGTAATTTGATTGCTTTGGGCTTTTTCCAGTTCATCAAATAACCAGGAACGTTGCTTGAGAACAGGTTATTCTGTTATTGTATGATTACATTCAGTGCTCATGTAATTAGACAATCCTCATCTAAGATTCACACAAGGACATCCATTTATATTGGATGCACAATTCAGCAGTTTTTTTATAATTCATGGAGGTTCTAAAAATGCTGCAGAAGGTTGTGTCCGCCGATTCAGTACATGGCATTCTAGAACAAGAAGGAACATGGTTTTAGAAGGAGAGTTTATGTATGTATATATATAATTTATTGTAGAGAACTGTTCTAAGCAGCATTCCTACATATGTTATCAAGTCAGGTTATTCCTACCACTTATGATGGACCTACCAGTCGAAGTATTGCTAAATATTTTGGTACATTGGACATGGTTGGACTAATTTTGAGGTTTATAGAGTGGTACGGTTCCAATAAATTCATGTGAAGTCCAGTTCCCCATTGCATTCAAGCTGCCCCAACTTTTAATTACCTCACCTGCAAAAACTCAAAATTTGCTGCAAACCTCATAGAAAAATGTAGTAAATTGCGCTGTTTAGATGATCATAAGGTATCTATACAAAGCAGCAAGAACAAAGCATTTAAGATGGTGAGTGTAAAATCTGAAATTTAAGTACCAGTGTGTGCTCAAGCAATTTCAAATTACATTTGTCACTCAAAGATTCAAAAGGGACAATAATAGTTTTATGAAAAAGTATTCCTTTGTTCCACTACATAGTTAATAGTTTATTACTTGTGATGCTAGTATCCGTTTGTGTCTTTGCAGTCACCTTATGAAAATAAGGCTTGCTTTGTATCTTTGGGATGTAGTGCACATAACAGATTGGGATTTTATGAAATCCTGTGAGGTTCAAACATTTTAAGACAACCTCTATGGTAACCTTCCTGTCTTAGTTGTAAAGGCGACTAAACCATTACATTTTAGACAACAGTTGGGCAATTTATCTGATTGGAACACTGGTAACCTCAAAGATCACAAGACAATATATAAGACTTTGCTCTCCATTAACATTTTATTTTGTCATGTTTTAGTGATCCCTTTTGTGTCCATTTAAATACCAATGCAGTGACATTCCATCTCCACACATTAAATCTTAAAGACTCTCCGACAGCACTGAGCAATCTGCTATTTGCTGTCTGCATTTCTATAGAGCCTGGTCAGCTCAGGATGAGTCTGTATTAGTGAAGGATTCTTGATTGGATGGTTCCATTAATTCAATGTGTCTTAATAATCAGATTGGTTTGTGTGATGTTCGGTGTTCACTCATTGTTCTCGTCTGTTTGTGCTGCTTTAGGAACCTTAAACCAAGTAACATCCTTATTAAAGGCAAGGATACTTTCCTGATCAGTGATTTTCTTGTGGAGACGCTGGTGATGGATGAGATGAAATTGAAGATCAGAGTGTATCCCGGTGAGCAGGTTTTAGTGGATGTCTGGATATCGAAGGAGGATGTTATGTACTACTAGAGTTTTGCATTCTTGACTTCACTGGAATTGTTCCTGGAAGCTGAACATATTCAAAGTCCAGAGCAATGATGCCTGATCTTGGGTTCCCAGGGCTTTCAAATTATATTTCCCATGATGCATGTGTTCTACCCATTTCCTGAAATAAGTGGTCTTGTTTCAGGAAATGGATAGGAAATACCTTTTCCTTATGAAGGATCTGCAGGTTGACAAGCATTGACAAAGGGTGGAGCTTTATTTAAGCTCCACATCTTTTGTCATCGTTGTCATTGACTGTCCGCTTCTCACTCATCTCTCTCAAGCATTGAGTCACCTTCTTATAAGATCTTGATTTGCACATGCCCTAGAAAGATCGGAGCATCATGAATAAGGAGCTAGTGGTGCCGGCGAGATGTGAGATAAAGTAGGTTTAACTATTCTGGACCACTGGCAATCATTGAGGGGGGGTGGCGAAAAGACCAATATAAAGGCTCAGGGATTAGGAAGAGAGAAAGTGACAGAGCAGCTATGATGCCATTAGAATATGCCCATTCCCTACATGACTCTGCCTTGAGAATCTGCTTATTCCCCTTGACACCCTAATTGTCTGCCCATTCACCTTGAGAATCTGATAATTCACACTGAGACCCAGCAAATCTGCTTATTCACCCTGCCAATCTGGTCATTCACCCTGCCAGTCTGGTCATTCACCCTGCCAATCTGGTCATTCACCCTGCCAATCTGCTCATTCACCCTGCCAATCTGGTCATTCACCCTGCCAATCTGCTCATTCACCCTGCCAATCTGGTCATTCACCCTGCCAATCTGCTCATTCACCCTGCCAATCTGGTCATTCACCCTGCCAATCTGCTCATTCACCCTGGGAATCAGCTAATTCACCCTGAGAATTTGCTAGTTTACTCTGGGAATCTGATAATTCATACTCAGACCAATAGAATCTGCCTATTCAGCTTGATACCTTGATGCTGAAATAAAACCCTGAAAATCCCCATATATATCGATCAGTTGCTAGACTAGAACATGTTTTCAAATGATGTATTTATACAAAATAACTTTCTCCTCTCATTTAATCACAGAATCAAAATTATTCATGGCACCAGAAACAACAAAGTTTTCGTTCAGCGAGAAATCAGACGTCTGGTCTATAGGAAGCATTATTCTAGACGTTATGACATGCGCCTCACACACAGTATGTTGGAAAAGAAACCCTTTTACTGTCTGACCAAATCATAACAGAATGGCAGATGGTTTTATTTCTTTGTACATTTATACTTTATAAAGAAACTAGGTTCATATTAACCGTTTATATCAGAAACTAGAATTCATATTAAACGTAGAAACCTATTTTATCAAAAGAAACTGTTTTGGTGGATCCCATTGGAGTATATATCTCCATGCATTTCTGTTACCCTTATCTTGGGTAGAAATAGGACGTATAAGTCTCATGTCTGCGTGGTAGCTAACGCCATGTTAATTCATCTCATTCTTGTGCTAAATCCTAACACTTGAAAAACCTCTAATCCCTACACTACCCTAACACATAAACTAACACTAACTCTCAACCCGACACTAACCTAGCACATTACTCCTAACCTTAATCCTTACACTACCCTAACACATAAACTAACACTAACTCTCAACCCGACACTAACCTAGCACATTACTCCTAACCTTAATCCTTACACTAACCTAACACATAAACTAACACTAACTCTCAACCCGACACTAACCTAATCCTTACACTAACCTAACACATAAACTAACACTAACTCTCAACCCGACACTAACCTAGCACATTTCTCCTAACCTTAATCCCTACACTAACCTAACACATAAACTAACACTAACTCTCAACCCGACACTAACCTAGAACATTACTCCTAACCTTAATCCTTACACTACCCTAACACATAAACTAACACTAACTCTCAACCCGACACTAACCTAGCACATTACTCCTAACCTTAATCCTTACACTAACCTAACACATAAACTAACACTAACTCTCAACCCGACACTAACCTAGCACATTACTCCTAACCTTAATCCCTACACTAACCTAACACATAAACTAACACTAACTCTCAACCCGACACTAACCTAGCACATTTCTCCTAACCTTAATCCCTACACTAACCTAACACATAAACTAACACTAACTCTCAACCCGACACTAACCTAGAACATTACTCCTAACCTTAATCCTTACACTACCCTAACACATAAACTAACACTAACTCTTAACCCGACACTAACCTAGCACATTACTCCTAACCTTAATCCTTACACTACCCTAACACATAAACTAACACTAACTCTCAACCCGACACTAACCTAGCACATTACTCCTAACCTTAATCCTTACACTAATCTAACACATAAACTAACACTAACTCTCAACCCGACACTAACTTAGCACATTACTCCTAACCTTAATCCCTACACTACCCTAACACATAAACTAACACTAACTCTCAACCCGACACTAACCTAGCACATTACTCCTAACCTTAATCCTTACACTAATCTAACACATAAACTAACACTAACTCTCAACCCGACACTAATTTAGCACATTACTCCTAACCTTAATCCCTACACTACCCTAACACATAAACTAACACTAACTCTCAACCCGACACTAACCTAGCACATTACTCCTAACCTTAATCCTTACACTACCCTAACACATAAACTAACACTAACTCTCAACCCGACACTAACTTAGCACATTACTCCTAACCTTAATCCTTACACTAACCTAACACATAAACTAACACTAACTCTCAACCCGACACTAACCTAGCACATTACTCCTAACCTTAATCCTTACACTACCCTAACACATAAACACAAATTTTTAACCTGACACTGCCCTAACACTTACATTGCACCCAGCCTTAACCCCTATAATGCCCTAACACTAATAACACACTAACCCAAGCCTAGAAAAAGAATGTAAAATAGAAAAAAAAAGTTAAAGTGCGGGCCTTTACATAGATAAAGGCAATTCCCTGCGGCCTTCGGGGGGAGAGACACTTCTAGAAGGCGGTAGCTGAGCCCAGTGTCTAGAAGTGTCAGGCGTGGGAAATATACAAAGACAAAGTAATTTCAATGAAATTCCAACACAGTCAAAATCAGTATTTCATAAATATATATTCTATCTTTAATGGGGGATGAGAGTGACAATGACGTTTTAAGGTAAAGCGTGTATTATGGCTAATTAGTGCCGGGTTTCTGGAGACATTCATGAGCTAATCAACCTTCAATTCATGGTTTGTTATGATGGCATCATTTTCCCATAAAACACAGTTCACTGTTATGTAGCCTCTCTCTCTCTAATCAGCTGTGAAATTATTTGTATTCTTTCGTAGGAAACCGAATCATCTACTTTGCTACAGGTGATCAAGGCTGATCCATCAGGGTTAGAGAGAGTTTTAAACACACTTCAGCATGAAACTGGTTACTCGAGTGAACTCTGTGAGGTTTTGCAGAGAATGTTACAGATTTGTCCAGAAGACAGAATTACAGAAAGGTGAGCATGGGATTTCTAGGGGCAAACATAATGTAACTGTGTGACTGTCTTGTTGTGATTATTATTTGTTCAGTTTGCACTATACAATTATAATGTATTTTAATTTGTTTATATCACATGATTGACTTAAACCATAGATGGCTATATAGTATGCAATAGACAAAAAAAATAGTCTCAGCTCTTTATTCCAATTCAACTTGCTTTTAAAACACACCCAAACTAATCAATTCATTTGGGATTTACCTGTAGAATCGTATAAATTTAATAAGACACAACAGGTAAAACCCAGACTAATCAATTTGTTCGGGTGTGGTTTAAAGACTTTGATTCCAATGAACTGGCTGACGGAATTTTTGCACTTATCCCATGTGGATTTTTATGTATAGCGATTTTGGTGGCTCCTCAGCCTACATCAGTGGATGGTTTGGCAGGATATTTCATAATGTTACAGAGCCATAGAAACATAGAATGTGACAGCAGATAAGAACCATTCGGCCCATCTAGTCTGCCCAATTTTCGAAATACTTTCATTAGTCCCTGGCCTTATCTTATAGTTAGGATAACTTTATGCCTAGCCCACGCATGCTTAAACTCCTTCACTCTGTTAACCTCTACCACTTCAGCTGGAAGGCTATTCCATGCATCCACTACCCTCTCAGTAAAGTAATACTTCCTGATATTATTTTTAAACCTTTGTCCCTCTAATTTAAGACTATGTCCTCTTGTTGTGGTAGTTTTTCTTCTTTTAAATATAGTCTCCTCCTTTACTGTGTTGATTCCCTTTATGTATTTAAATGTTTCTATCATATCCCCCCTGTCTCTTCTTTCCTCCAAGCTATACATGTTAAGATCCTTTAACCTTTCCTGGTAAGTTTTATCCCGCAATCCATGAACCAGTTTAGTAGCCTTGCTCTGAACTGGTTCATGGATTGCACGATGAAACTTCCTAGGAAAGGTTAAAGGATCTTAACATGATTTGTTGTATGGCATGTCATCATAAAACTCAAATAAAATATTAGAATATAAAAAAACAAAAAACATGTATAGCTTGGAGGAAAGATGAGACAGGAGGGATATGATAGAAACATTTTAAATACATAAAGGGAATCAACACAGTAAAGGAGGAGATTATGTTTAAAAGAAGAAAAACTACCACAACAAGAGGACATAGTCTTAAATTAGAGGGACAAAGGTTTAAAAATAATATCAGGAAGTATTACTTTACTGAGAGAGTCTGGGACACCCTGTTAGTATTGGTATCTAGGGTGAAAATCCAGTCCAGATAGGTCTCCGCTATTTTGTCTTTTCCCGATCTGCTGCAGTTTATGTGGATACCTTTGACTGGGATTCTGTATATAGTAATGAAAAGGGATTCTGTGTGAATGTAACAAACATTTTAATGCATTTTAACGCTTTAAACAAATACATTAACAAATTAATAAGAGACAATCATCTCTAAATATCTCTCTTGTCCAACAAATCCTCTGTTTCCAGTACCTGGATACGTTCTCCCAGCCCATCTTGACCTATCTGCATATTCCCGTTGGAAAAATGTCTCTTCCCATAAACCTCTGCAGCGGCTTCCATTCACTTGCAGGAGTGGGTCTAGTTATCTCCTTCAGTGAATGCAATGTACACGCCTCATGTTAGTTTGTATCTCTTTTTTTTTCTTAAAAGAGGGAGACAGTGATGTGGAGCTGTACTGCAAGCAGTTTTTGCAGTTTATTTTCGCAATTAAATGTTTTATTAGAGTTTTTCAATGCAATAAAAATAAGTCACCTAGATATAAGAACATAGAAAAGTTGCATAATATCACATTAGGGTAATAAAAACATGCATAACAGAGCTTTATACATGACCCCAGGCTGGATCTCCCATTGGGCACAGTAGGCCCTCACCTACAGGGTCCTGATCACTAGGGGGTGCCTGTTATCAGCACTTATAATGTGCTCATTTGAGTTGGTGGGGATAGATAAATATTTGGAGCCTTGACCAGTGGCTTCTGTTAGCTGAGATAGCAGAGCTGCTGGACAAAAAGAGGAAAGGATCGCCTTCCAACTGCCTAGTAGTAACCTCTGACCCAGGAAATTCATTGTGGGAGGAGTGGGGGAGCTCTCAGTGATACTCACTGTGTAACCAATTCCTCCAGCTCCCAAATCTATCTTAGAGGCTGACTGAGCTACACAAGACTTAGGAGGGTGAGTACTTTGTAAATAAGCATGCAAAGCCTAAATATTAGAATTAACCTTTTACCTCTTAAAAACAAAACCCCTAATGTACTCCAATACTATATTTAACCAAACTCTAACCCTAAACTCAATAATCCGAAAACACACCTGTACCAAAATGCTAAATTTAAATGTGTATTCCGGACACTATAGGTTTAAATAACTGCTTTAGACCCCTGGCTTCCTCATAACTCCAGTTAAAAAGGTGATTTACTCACTATTTCCACTGCTGAGCGGGTTCCAGTTGCGGCTGGCTCCTCCTCCTTGGCATAGATCATCAAACTTGATGATCTAAGCCAATCTAATGCTTTCCCATAGGGAAGCATTGGGAGGCTATCGCTAATGCTTGGCACAACATCGCTCTGCACCAATCAGCACCTCCTCATAGAAATCCATTGATTCAACATTCAGCGCCTCCATACAGAGTGTGGAGACGCTGACCGTCAAAGACCCAGGAAGCACCTCTAGGGGCCGTCTGAGTGATGGTCACTGAGTGATGGTGTTTACATTACAGCCTAGGGACTGTGAAGTGTCCCTAGGCTGTAATGTAAACACTGCTTTTTCTCTGACACCCCTTTACCCTAACCACTTGTAACAGGAAGGGACAGGAAGTGCCTTAGAATTTTGTGCCTGCCGACGCCTGACTTGTAAATCTAGCCCTGCATGACCTATTCAATAAGATCTATTCAGAGACTCCCAGGGACTAGTACACAAATAAAGAGGAGAAGGGGGAGGAGGAATAAAAGGAATGAATGGGGAGGGAGATGGACAAGGGATGGGGGAGGGAAAAGTCACCTGCACACAAACTGAGTTAGGGAAAAACAGCTGTTTATAAAAAACAAACACACTTCTGGAATCATGCATAATGTCAGGCGTATTGCATTGTCACTCATCTTTTGGATACAGACCAGAGGGTTGGCCTATGCATCTAGAATACAAAGTGTTTCTGCGTGTACAAACATACAAACCTAAGTCCTGTGCTCAAACTCCCACTACTCCTGGGCGGCAGCAATGACCTTAGTACTCATCAGCCACAATACATAGCGTAATTTTTTTTTAACCCCTTAAGGACACATGACGTGTGACATGTCATGATTCCCTTTTATTCCAGAAGTTTGGTCCTTAAGGGGTTAAAAGTTTAAAATCTTGCTATCCATAATTCCTATGCACATTTAAATAACTTGAGGTTTTTTTGTATAATTTCAATGAACATTAAAGTGTAAGCTCCCTTTTTGTGTCTGTATATATACTTTGCTCAGTGCAGGACACTGTGACTAAAAGTAAAACCAACAGAAGTTAGTTTGACAGACACAAACTGAGTAACATGGGAGATTTAGATACAGGTGGGACATAGACAGATTATGTGTTATCTAGCAGACTTAAAACAGAAATTGGGTTTTGGTAAGATTGGCAGAATAGTGAGCTTAAGATAAGTTTCAGAGAAAGTCTGAAGAATGAGGAGAGGGAAAGAATCCAAAATAAGGTACCAGGAAGTTCTAGAGGTGTGTGGGGCAGTTCTGTGAGTTTTAGAGATGTAAAGCATCTTTGTGAGTTCTACGGGAGCGGGCAGCTCTATGAGTTCTAGAGTAATGGGCACCTCTGTGAGTTCTAGAAGAGTGGGCAGCGCTGTGAGTTCTAGAGTAATGGGCACCTCTGTGAGTTCTAGAAGAGTATGCAGCTCTGTGAGTTCTAGAGTAATGGGCAGCTCTGTGAGTTCTAGAAGAGTGGGCAGCGCTGTGAGTTCTAGAGTAATGGGCAGCTCTGTGAGTTCTAGAAGAGTATGCAGCTCTGTGAGTTCTAGAGTAATGGGCACCTCTGTGAGTTCTAGAAGAGTGGGCAGCTCTGTGAGTTCTAGAGTAATGGGCACCTCTGTGAGTTCTAGAAGAGTGGGCAGCTCTGTGAGTTCTAGAGTAATGGGCAGCTCTGTGAGTTCTAGAGTAATGGGCACCTCTGTGAGTTCTAGAAGAGTGGGCAGCTCTGTGAGTTCTAGAGTAATGGGCAGCTCTGTGAGTTCTAGAAGAGTGGGCAGCTCTGTGAGTTCTAGAGTAGTGGGCAGGTCTGTGAGTTCTAGGGAGTGGGCAGCTCTGTGAGTTCTAGAGGAGTGGGCAGCCCTGTGAGTTCTAGAAGAGTGGGCAGCTCTGTGAGTTCTAGAGTAATGGGCAGCTCTGTGAGTTCTAGAAGAGTGGGCAGCTCTGTGAGTTCTAGAGTAGTGGGCAGGTCTGTGAGTTCTAGGGAGTGGGCAGCTCTGTGAGTTCTAGAGGAGTGGGCAGCCCTGTGAGTTCTAGAGGAGTGTGGCAACTCTGTGAGTTCTGGAGATGTGAATCATCTTTGTGAGTTCTAGAGGAGTGAGCAGCTCTGTGAGTTCTAGAGGAGTGGGCAGCTCTGTGAGTTCTAGAGATGAGAAGCAGTTCTGGTAGTTCTAGAGGCGTGAAGCAGTTCTATTAGTTCTACAGGAGTGGTGCAGCTCTGAGAGCTCTAGAGGTGTAAAGCAGTACTTTTAGTTCTAGACATGTGAGTCTGCTGTGTGAGTTCTAGAAATGTGAAGTAGTTCTTTTAGTTCTAGATGTGTGAGTTCTAGAGATTTAAAGCAGTTCTGTAAATTGTACTGGCCTTCTCCCTTAGGGGGCATGGTTCCCGCTAGATATCACTACACGTGTCACACAAACGCAAAGCACGCCTCCATCTGAGCGTTCATTCTAGCTCTAATACACTTAGGCCAATACTAATCTTCCTGTCAAAGTAGAAACTATTTTCTTCACACTTTCACTCTCTGTTATGTTAATCTGCAATCTACTCGTTAAATTTAAAAATTGGGCTGCCATCATATAACCCATGCTGATGCTATATTACGTTGCCATTGGGCTTATTATAGCTGTCGTGGCAAAAATAAAGAGTAAAAAAATATATCTGAACTGGAGAATTTTGGCATTTTGGTGTACATATTTCATTTTTTTGTCAATTGTCCACAATTCCCTGATTAGTAATGCCTGCGATGTCTGTATTGCTACGTAATTTGTTTCATATCATACATAATAAATTCTTTTGTTTTTAGCTTGACTCTAACTATTTTCTATTTTTTTTTTTTTGGACTATAGTGACTTGGTGAATCACCCTTATATTAAAATTTGCTTGACCTTTATTGGGTCTCCTTTGGCTGGGATTAAAAAACGGTTGCCACCTGAACTGGCAGACAAGATGCAAGAAACCGAGAACGTTTCAGGTAAAATAAATCTCGGTAACACTGGTAACAATTAGTGATGTCCCGAACGGTTCGCCACGGACTCATCATTGAGTAAACTTTGACCCTGTACCTCACAGTCAGCAGACACATTCCAGCCAATCAGCAGCAGACCCTCCCTCCCAGACCCTCCCACCTCCTGGACAGCATCCATTTTACATTCATTGTGAAGCTGCATTGTTAGTGAGCTGTCCAGGAGGTGGGAGGGTCTGAGAGGGAGGGTCTGCTGCTGATTGGCTGGAATGTGTCTGCTGACTGTGAGGTACAGGGTCAAAGTTTACTCAATGATGAGTCCGCGGCGAACCGTTCGGGACATCACTAGTAACAATTAATTCATTAATGTATATAGTATGGTTAAGCCTGGGCTGGTTATTATCAGATGTGAAAACTCTGTAATTATCTTGGTTGAGGAATGTGAAATTGCCTTGTCCTTTCTGGGCAGGAAAGGGGGTATCCTGAAATGGGCACTTAGTCAGTTTGGGGGTAGAACCATGCACAGAGTGCGTGCCTGGTACTGCTACTTAATGATGGGCAGAGAATGGGGTGTTGGTCAAAAGACCTGGCAATAAGCTTCCAAACCCAGTATTACAGAGGAAAATCTGGCAGGTTTCCAGTTGTGGTTATTTAAAAATGATAAGGGTTATAAGTAAGGAGGGGTGTAGACCTCAGACTTCCCCAATCCCTAAACAGTAACATTTAAAAAAAAATATCCCTACAATTTGTTCTCCATGATTTGGTAAAATTATTTTAAACTTTAATGAAAATGTTCAATTGTAAAATAATATCCCTGCTGAATACCGTCCTGTGCTGCATTCTCTTTTGGTTTTAGTAGCGCCCTCGCTGTCTGTTACAGAGTACATGGAGAAGTATAGCGAATATGAAGAAGCGCAGATGTCCGCACTCAAACACCTGTCCAGCCGTGCAGCACACCCAGATGGTATGTTGGGCAATTAGCAGAATATTTTAAAGTGTCTCCTTCACACCCCACCCCAAAATTCGCATTTCTAAAATATAAAAAAATGCTTAGAAAGACTGTGTTGAAACAGTCAAAATATATCTTAAGACAAAGTAGCGACTACTTTGTTTTGTATACTTTTCCTATGCTTGACAAAGCTTGACAAAAAGGCGGAGTCCCACTCTCAACCTTTGTCAAGCACTCAGCCTGTACCAGTGATAGCTGAAGTAAAACTCTCTGTCTTGGGAGGGATCCTTCATAGACATCAGTCTAGTGTGAGAGTACAGCACTGACTCCAGGAAGATAAAGCACCAGGAGTTGAACAGGACCCTGCAGAAGAAGATAACAGTGGCCACGAGGGACAGGCTCTGGTAAGTAAAACTCACTTATCCCTGCATCATGCGGCCACCGCACTACAAGCGGCAAATACACCAAAAAAATATGCTAAGACCTCAGAAGGTGACAGAGCTGTTTTAAAGAGACCCTCCTGAATTTAAACCATTTTAAAAGCATTATAAAAATCCAAGCTTACACTACCGTGCTAGGCCTTAAAAAGTTACTTGCCACCACATGCCTGGAGGCTCCATTGACTGATGGCTGTCCTTAGCCTTCAATCAAGTTATGCAGCAGGAGCAGCCATTGAAGCGCTGATTGTGCTGCCAGGAAATTACATCCATAATTTTAAACAGTTGCCTCATCGATACAACAATAATTTAAAGGGACACTGTAGGCACTATAACAATTTCATCAAACTGAATTGGTTATAGTGCCTGGAGTCCTCTGGCGCTGTCCCATCATTCAGCGTTAAACTATTTTGGAGCAGTGTAACACTGAATGAGAGTCCCTGGCTTCCCATACCCCCAGCCCCGCTGGAGGTGTGCCTAAGGCAGAGATTGCACTTCCTTCTAGCCATATCGATTCATACCAGCAATGGGCGCTGTGATAGGCTGAAACTGGTCAGATGACACTCTCAGCCAATCCCATCCACTTGTTGCTGCTCAGGCTAATGCTGTTGACTTGTATAGCATTAAAACAGTAAAAACGATTTAACACTGAATGGGGAAAATAGGCTCGCCAGACACAATAGAAAAAAACAAGCAAAGGGGTCAGGGCTATTCAACCAAATCAATACACAGGCAAAGAAGAAGGCAGCACACCTAAGTAATGAGGCTCCCCCAAAAAACTCCAACATGGTTTAAGACAGTACAGCAAAAGGAAAAGGGAAGGTAGCGCCAAGACACAATAGCCACTTTAAAGGACCACTCTAGGCACCCAGATCACTTCAGCTTAATGAAGTGGTCTGGGTGCCAGGTCCCTCTAGGATTAACCCTTTTTTTTTTTTTTTTATAAACATAGCAGTTTCATAGAAACTGCTATGTTTATAATAGGGTTAATCCAGCCTCTAAAGCCTCTAGTGGCTGTCTCACTGACAGCCGCTAGAGGCGTTTGCGTGCTTCTCACTGTGTTAGAAGAATACAACACTGAGTTGATTCTCTAGTCAACCTGTAACGCTGAAATTTTCCTCCTACAAATGGTGTGTTAACCAAATTAGCTATCTCACTAGTGCAATGCTTTCATTCTCCTTTATAAAATGATATTTGCTGTAATATTTGTTGTTCCACTGCAGGTTTACCGTGTGAAGGAGAGTTAGTCCGTCTTATAGAGCAGGCTATGAGATTACACGCCGATTCTTTAGACATACAGCTGGAGGGGAGCAAGATTCTGAAACATATTGTAAGAAAGGGTGAGAAATGAATCCCTTGCTGTTTTACCTTTGAACTTTTCAGGAAGATATGTGATGTTTATTATTTTCTTTATTATTTATTATTAATTATTTTCAATATTTAGTCTTCTCGGCCTCAATCCATTATGAGATCAGCATCCATCATTTTAATATTTCTCGTAAATTCCCCAGAAATACCTTTACAATAAGAAGTAGTCAATGCAAACCAGTAAACATCATGACAACCCATAGGTACCTCTATGGAGTTGGAAAAATACCGTATTTACTCGAATCTAATGCGCACCTTAATTTTTGAAAACTGGAAGCGGAAAAATGTCTTGGTGGCGAATGTAAGTTTGAGAACTTTATTTTCCAAGAAAGGTGCCCATTAGATTTGAGTAAATACAGTATATTAAGAATTGTTGAAGAGGTTTGCGAGATATATGTAATAATAGATTTCATCATACCTGCTTGTGAATGTGTTACTTGGCAAATTACACACCTGTCACCTTCTCATGAGTCTTGCACCGGTTTTGCATGTTACAAAGATACACAAAACAAGCAGTTGGTCAGCAATATTAATTCAGTTGCATTTTGGTATTGTTATATTCTGTTTTAGTGCTGAAAGAAGGTGAAGGTGGCGACGGATTTGTAAATAACGAACTTTTGACTACTTTGGTTGGCGCAGTAAGGCGTTTTCATGAAAGCAAGGAGCTGGCATTCCAGATTCTTAGTGTACTGGCCACGATGTCCGCAAACAGTAAGAGATAATGTTTTAAGCATTCCCTCTCTATCGAAAAAGGTTCACATGCTGAAAAAGTAGGCCAAAATGGCCAATTTGGAAAAATGTTTAGATTCTCACCAGGCTATTTTGGTTTATGTTTTGAATTTCCTTTGTCAGTCTTTGGGCTTTTGTTTTTTTGTAAAACAGGAAATGTACAAATGCTTACATAAATATATATTAAAACTTCTCTTACTGCATTATTTTATATAAAAGGCCTTTACATTTAGACATTATTGACCATATAAGGTCAGGTAACGTCATGGGATAATTTTTGGGAAATGTTTCCATAACTAGAACTCTCCTTTTTAGTTTTTTAGTATAACAGGTTTTTTTTGTATAGTTTTAAAGGTTGAATCATTTAGTAATTAATCATATATATATATCTTTAACCTTGACCTGCAGAGAGTGGCAGGAGGCAAAATGTCCCAAATAAATGGATTAATCTTATAAAAGCAGGCATTAGGTGCTAGAGTAGGACCTGCCAAGAATGGGGTACATTGACGTTGTGGCAGGTTTATTCAATGTATGATCAAATACTATAACTAAACCCAGTGGTGTATTTAGGTTTTTGTGCTGTTCTAGGCAGGACGGCGCTCGGGCACCTCCGCCAATTTAAATTTTCCCCACCCCTTCCTGTCAAGGCCGCACTTTGACTGACAGACGCTCACTCACTGACAGGCGCACACTCACTGACAGACACACACTCTCATATACACTGACAAACAATGACATACACACACTCACTGATTTGACACACTGATAGACAGACATACACTTACTCGGACACACACTCCCTGACAGACGCACGCACTGACTGACAGACACACACGCTCACAAACAGACGCACGCAATGACTGACTGACTGACATACATACTCGCTGACACACACACACACTCACATTCACTGACTCACACACTCACTCACATTCACTGACACACATTCACTCACATTCACTGACATACACTCACATTCACTGACACACATATTCACTCACACACACATTCACTGACACACACACACACTCACTCACATTTACTGACACACACATTTCCTCACACTCACAATTATTCTTCTTCTTATTATTTTTTTTAAAATTTAAATCCAATTTAAAATTTAAATGGGATAGCTGGGTGGATTTCTCACCTGGGGTTCAGTGGGGCTGCTGGGCAGGGAGGCGGCCGGACGTGCAGGCAGGCAGGCGGGCAGTGGTTTCCTGGGCAGGTGGCGAGGGTGCACTTTCCCCTGAGCTCTCTGCTCAGCTTCCTCAGATTGTTCAGATCCCGGCATCATTGCGGGTTGCGCGAGGGAGCTGAGCAAAGAGCTCAGGGGAACGTGCTGCCTCGCCGCCCGCCCAGGAAACCACTGCCCGCCTGCCCCGGGGCGTTTTTTGCTGCCCCCTGGAAATTTCCGCCCAAGGTAAATGCCTTGTTTGCCTCGTTGTAGACACATCCCTGACTAAACCCCCATTCTTTTTTGCCTAGGTGAGGTGTTTTTAAATAAAACCATTAAAACATTTTTTTTTTAGATAAGACTGCAGAACTTTTGGAAAAAAATGGATTTCTCCAGGATGTTGTGAAGATACTGGAGGACTCACAGGATAGCACAGATCTATGTACGCCGAGCTGTGACCTGTTGTGGAGTATGGCTATGACAGGTGAGTACTAAGATCTTTGTTACAATGGTTGTAGGTGGAGGAGCATTGACCATGCTTGTCCCATGGTGTCCAAACCCCAGATGACCTTCTCATTGATGCCTACCTTGTAGAGCCTTGTCTTCCTTTCTAAATAGCAGGATACTCTGTCGGCCACTGACAACACTGGGACATGTCTTCATATACCAGCATCATCCATGACTGATTCCCTTGTGAATACACGAACCATAGATTTATAAAAGAGGCAAGAACTCTTGCTCCTTTCTGATATGAAGGATTGTGCCGTGAATCTCATTTTTCGTCCCACGGTCTTAAGTTTTGTCTACACATGAACTAGAGATGAGGCTGGTGAACACCACAACGTGTCTTAAAATCTCCATCCAAAATATTTTGTTCTTGTAGCGATGATATATGAATTTAGAGATGGAATTGCCTAGGGCCCAGGTCATAGCTAGGGGGAAAAAAGCATTTTTGTATTGATGAAAAATAAGTATTTCCCCATTGTCTTACAGAAAGGCCTTCTGACGTTGAACTGCTGAAATATAGCGTTGAAGTAATCCTTTCTCTCATCAGAAACAATCTCTACGATGTGTCATTAATGACATCAGCCTTCTACTGCCTCTGGATACTGTGTCTGAAAGGTGGCTTCCACATCTAAAGCTATTGACCTAAAAATGTCCATGCATATCTTATCAGTATGTAAAATATCCTATTTGTCATTTGTAGGTTACGTGTCAGAGAAACAGATCGAGCCGGTAATATTTGTGTGTTTGGAATGTTATCAACATAATCGGATTGAGAATGTTCTAATTAAAAACATCTGTTTGATACTGGCCAACCTGGTGCGAAATTACGGTACTTACCACAAGTCCTTGCATGCGGTTATAGCCGATACCGTTCATTTGATGGTTTTAAAAATATTTTACATATTTGTTTTGTATACTAGGGATCAACTTTTTATATTTTGCGATTTCAGAAATGGCAGCGTATCAAGCCATATTACCAGTTTCTGGATGGAATTGCATTCACCATGCTAAAGACATTTATCGTTATTTCTCTTGGAATCCAGAGATCGTGGAGAATATCTGTATTCTGTTTAATGAGATGGCCCAATATGGTGAGTTTCTCGCTTGCATCATTTTATGCACAACTGGATCTACACAAAGAACACATCTGTTAGAAATGGGATAGCCTATCGGACTTAGTCAAGGATCTCTTGCTAAAGTCTGTTTCCTGTAATATTTTGGCTGAAGCGGAAGTACGATCTGTTGGACATAATTGTTCTAGCATCATGAAAGTGGTTGTCCTACAGGTAAAATGGAAAGACTAGGGGTGAGCACAGATCACAAAAAACATACAATCAGTTATTAGAAGAAAAAACATGGTTTATGCACTGCACTCAACTTTAAATTGTCAGGAATTCAACATGGTAAAGAAAAACGAAAATATTTATATTCAAAAGGATAAAAAATAGGATCTGGCTGATAAAAGATCTACAAAAAAGAAAAACAATACATAGTGCAGTAATGCATATAACTAATTTCTGTGTTTTAAATTGTTGCACTCACCCATCGCTCTATGGGGGCCTTCCCCGATGCAGGTGGGTGATAAAAGCCTCTTCGTCTGTTTGGAATCGCCCAATTCAGGAACGGACTCAGGAATCCAGATGTAGTAATGTGAAAATACTTTTATTGTAACAGCGTATAGCAAACATAAATCTATTAAAAATATATATTTAAAAGGTTCCAAGGTCCTATGCGTTTCGTTCTATATATAAGAACTTCATCAGAGTCCCAAAAACTTAAAACAAAGTAAAACAGATCAAAGCTGCAAACAGCCCGACTCAAATATATTGAAATATTTACTTATTTTTTATTTATGTTTGCTATATGCTGCTACAGTAAAAGTAGAGATCAGCTGTTTATATTTTGTGGTATTAGAAATGGCAGTGTATCGAGCCTTAATACCAATGAGCCGGATCCTATTTTTAACCCCTAGTGGTAAGGAAGCACCGGGGACCTCCATAACATCTTTATATCAAGGAAGTTGTTATGGTCACCAGTGTTCCTTTAAGTCAAAATAGCTGAAACAGAGAAATCCTACTTAAGATTTTTTTCATGTGGCTATTTAGGCCAAAGTTTTGTAACTCATTTATCAATTTACTGTTTAGTGAATAAACCCCATAGCTTACAATTAAATCAGCGCTGGCAGGTATCACAAGGAAGAGTAGCGCTTCATTTATTTTATACAGTTGTTTGCATTTTACACTAAAATCTCAGCACATTGGCAGCATTGTAAAAAACCAAAACACACGAAAAACAAATCTACAGAATGTAGGGACAGATCTGATAACAAACAATGGTGGACTCCACAATAGCAAATAAGGGAACAGATCTTAAAGGGATTAAACCAAAACTGATCCTGTAAACCTGTCCTGTGTTCCAGAATTCACATTGCCAGAACTGCGGTCGTTTGAGATAGACGAAATCATGCAGGAAGTAAAAGTCAAAAATGATGGAATACGGGTATGTAGATCTCTCTCTGTGTACAATGGCTTGATTTAATCGTCCGTAAGATGTGTGCTGAGGCAGGTATATATACGTGACATCTGTTTCCTCCAACCGCTCTCAGTTTATTGGACTTTAGGAAACATCGTTCCTTTATTTTTTTCTTTTTTACTTCTTTATTTTATTTTCATTTTCATTTATGTAAAGGTAACATAGGTAAACGTTCAATAGGTAACAAGAAATTGGTTTACAATTTAGGCAAAGGTAAGGAGTAGGACGAAGAGATCAGGTCATAACATTACATTGCAGGCCTGTATTACTGCAGGGTGTCAGTGAGCTATGTTTAAGGTAACATCGATACCCTCATTTGTTTTCAAGGTTTCATAGCCCTTGCGATTGGTCCCATGAGGAATTTTTGTATATGTTGTCATTAGGGTATCGCTATTGGGGGGTTATGTCCGGCCTGATCTTAAAAGGGTTGTCTCATCCAGGTTGGGGTGCCTTCTTTTTGTGATCAGTGGTCCCCTGTGCTGTCATTTAGGATTTGTCATTGTGGGGGTGTGGTTTTCTGGGTTATGGCCTGATATAAGGATTATTGAGAATAGTAATTTTCAGGTGTTAGTAGAAGGCAGGGAGATCTGAATGGGAGTGGGTAGGAGGCCGTGTGTGTGCACCCGGCTGCCGGGCCCTGCCCTCCCCCCCCCACCCTTCCCCCTGGTAAGGTCGGAGGGGTTGCGAGGAGGAGTAAGGCCTGGCGGGGCGGGCAGCAGGAGAGGGGAGAGTCATGGCAGTAAGTATTTCTGGGTTTAATTGTGGTCTGTGTCGCTGCGGGTGTGTATGGCTACCAAGGGAACTTTGTGGAACGTTTTAGGGGTTTTGTGTATTTGTGCCGTAAGTCTGTCCATGTCCAGGTTTTCTTGTGTATCCCTTTATGTAGGGGTATATTGGTGGATGCCCATACTCCTCCAATTGCCCTGCGTGTGGCCAGGGCTACTCGTGCTATTAGTTTATTTTCATTGAATGTTCAATAAGATTGAATGTTCAATATCCACCCATCATTTCTTCATGGGTGGCAGGTGCCACATCTGAATTTGGGTCAAATGTGCCACGTAAAGCTAATGTAAGAAGTTAGGGAGGCCCAGCCCACCCGACTTCCTAGGAACATATAATGTTTCCCTGCGAACTCTGGGTTTGGTGCCATTCCAGATACATTTATTAATTGCGTTCTGCAGGGATGTAAGGTCCGCTCTACGGAACGAGACAGGGAGGGTCTGGAAGACGTATAAAAAACGGGGTAGGAGATTCATCTTGACAGAAGCGACACGGCCCAGCCACAAGATCCCCAATGATTCCCATGCTTTGAGATCAGCGTATGCCTTTGCAAGCATTGGAGCGTAGTTTGTTCGGTACAGGGCTGTGACGTCTGGGGTGAGTTGTATGCCTAGGCAGACTCACATATTCGTAGGGGGAATTTTTCTTTTAGATGTGTGAGGTCAGCGCTAGATATGTGAATCGTGAGGAGCTAAGATTTTGTTATGTTCAGCTTATACCCCGAGATAAGGGAGTACGAGTGTATCAGTTGTAATAAATGGGCTAGGGAGGTGGCCGGGTTAGTTAGGGTTAAGAGGACGTCATCTGCATATGCAGAAACTTTATAGGGCTGGCTTCTGATGTTTATCCCCTTTATGCCCGGACTGGACCGTATCGCCTCCAGCAAGAGCTGTAGGGATATGGGGAACAAGAAGGGGAAAAGTGGGCATACCTGTCTCGTCCCCTTAGAGTTGGTAAATCTGGGGAGGTTAATGTTGGGGAGAAGGAGAGCTCCCTGTGAATGGCAGTAGGTGGCCTCTAGGAATATTAAGAATTGCGATGGGAATCCGAATTGTGTGTGGAAGAGGAAGGGCCAGATCGAATGCCTTCTCGGTGTCCAGGGATATTATTGCTGTGGAGTTGTGTCTGTGATTTGCGAACCATATTAGGTCTATGGCCCTCCTGGTGTTGTCTGCTGCTTGCCTATTGGGGATGAACCCCACCTGGTCAGGATTGATTAGTGAGTTAAGGAGGGGATTAATCCTATTGGCCATCACCTTGGTTTTGATTTTTAAGTCAACATTTAATAACGATATTGGCTGAAATGACCTGGAACGTCGTGACGCTTGTTGGGTTTTGGGAGAAGGCAAATGTTGTCTGAGACCATGTCCGTCGAGAGTTTGTCACTTTGTAGCATGGCATTGAATACTGCACATAGGTGTTTCAGTAAGTGTTCGCTAAAGGTTTTGTAGTACAGGGCCCCAAACCCGCCTGGGCTCTTGTTGGGCTTAAAGGAACGAAGGACAATGGTAATTTCTTCAACCATCACTTCCTCTGTCTAGGCCTGGCTGGATGCCGTGGGCAGGGAGGGGAGTTTCAATTATTTTCAATTCTGTGTGACGTTTCCGTCGTGCTAACATGGAGCCGGCTTTTTTTTTTTCAAAAATGTTTTGTTTAAGCCAGAGGGAGGGCCTTAGAAGTGTCTTCTCGGGTGAAGAGCTTTAAGAGTTCCCTGGCTGCTGTCAGTTGGCCAAGACAGGTCATGTTTGGGTCTGATTTATGGTGAGCTTCCAGGCGGTGGATTTCCACCATGGTATCTGTGATCTGTTGTATTCGGCTTTTCTTTCTGGCTGTTGCCAGGCTAATTAACTTTCCACAGATTACCGCCTTGTGTGCTGTCCATAGGGTTATAGGGGATATCGCCTTGGGGTCGGTATTAAATTCAAAATAGTCTGTAATGTCTTTAGATATACTCCCGGTTAGATCATTGTTGTGCAATAATAAGGGGTTTAATTACCAAGTCCAGGGCCGGGTCAAGATATGAATGTGTAGTATCAGGGATATGTCTGCATGATCCGACCATGAGTTTGAGCAAGTGCTGGTGGCGACTACTTGAGAAAGGGTGTTTGGGGCCACCAAGAAGTGGTCGATTCGGGAATATGATTTGTGCGAATAAAATTTGAAATTTTTGGCGGATGGGTGTTGAGCCCTCGATAAGTCTATGAGGTTTCGGGAGGTGGCTACTGGGCTTACAGTCTAGGCCAGTAGAGTATGACCGCTTCATGTATGGCGCGGATACAGATGTTAGGGGAAATGTAGTCTATGAACGAGGAAAGGTAGAAACAGAGGGTCCACGGATAGTCGTTTTCGGGCAAGTCTTCGTCATCATGCCCAGGTGCCCCACCCATCATGTTCAGTTATGCATATTTATAACAATATAACAGCAATTAAAAGAATAGGAGAAACATAATTAAAAAAATGTAAAAGGGGGAACACTGGGGTGAACCATGGCTGCTACTGTTCATTCTATTCAGATACACCCAGAGCTGCAGCATTAGAGTTGGTTAAAGGCTTAAGCTATCCTGTTGAACAGTGCTCCCTGGGAAAACCAACTACATTGAAATAGCAAGCTTGGTGCACTTTGCAGAGCTTAGGTTTCCAATTGAGATCATTGCTAATGGGTAGCTAAGAGGGGGCGGCAGGCCGAGGCCCGCTAGAGCATATACATTATACCTCCAAGAGGGGATATCAGTACAGTATTATGGGGGAGAGGGACATATTGTGAGCGAATAAACAACACATCTCATTCTTATCTCTGTGTTGTGGATGGTATCTGCATCGGTCATGTGGAGGTTTAGGACAGTCTCTTTGCCGCCAATTGTGTGGAATCTTGGGTTTGTAAGTCGTCTGGTTACTGAGGCTCAATTAGGAGCGGCAGTCTGGGAGGGTTGTTCTTCTGAGGAAGCTGATACATGAATCGGTGCGGTCCCAGTGGAGAATTTCTGTTCGAGTCCTTATGGGCGTTGTAGTTCTATTCTAGATGGTCTGCGCCTCCGCAGTAGGGACAGTAAATTGTTACCTTCTGCAGGAGGCCCTTCTGGGCGATGGCGGGTAATCCCAGCTGTGTTGCAAAGTCCTGTGCATCAGAGATGTCATGCAGGATATAGGTCCTGTCCTCCCTGCGGACCACTAGCTTGAAGGGGTGACCCCATGCATATCTAAGCCTCTGCTGTGTAAGTGCTTGTGTTAAGGGTCTGTGTGCTTTCCTTTTGTGCAGGGTGCTGGGCGCCAAGTCCTGAAAGAATTGGACCTGGTGGCCGTCTTTGTAGAGGGTTGTCTCTAGCGGCTCGCATCAGTGCTTCCTTCACATGGAAGTAATGCAGACGGACTATTACGTCTCTTGGCTGGTTAGTGTTTGGCAAAGGAGCTCGGAGGGCTCTGTGTGCCCTGTCAATGATGAGCTCTGCTGGAGGTGCTTCAGGCAGTAGGCCACAGAATGTCTCTTGGAGCGCTGAATTAAGCATGTCTGGCGCAACGGATCCCGGCATCCCTCTAATTCTTACATTGTTTCTGCGTGATCTGTTGTTTAGATCTTCTTGTGCTTCTTCTAAGGCTTGTACCTGGTCGCGGATCTCTTGCAGGGCCCTGTCGTGATTGACAGTGGTCGTGGAGATCTCCTCCATCTTGTCTTTCACCGCTAAGGTGCGCCTGGTTAAGTCTTCTAGGCCTTCCCGGATAGGGGCCAGATGTTTTGCCAGCTCCGCTGCCATGCTTAGCTTGATATCACGGAGCAACTCCTTCAGGTCCCCTCTGTTCACCGGGTTAAGTTCCTGACTGCTTCTTCCTGCTTTGCTGGCGTCTGAGTTGGACTCCTACACGTGGCGGGCCCTTGTCCACACGGCTGCGGAATATCGGTGCTACCACTGTGCTGTGTCTTGATATTTTTTTTTTTCTCCCCATGATCGTTGGAACGAGCTCGGAGAGACAGGTGGGGCAGGTTGTGTTGGAAATATTTAGGGATTCGTGCTTTTGTAAGCTGTTGTTTTGCCTGATATTGTAGAGCTCTAGCAAAGTGCTTCCATCCACACCGGAAGTCAGGCGCCACCCCCTAGGAAACATCTTATAGATCATTAACTGAAATCCTAGGTAACAGAACAAGAAAGAAGCAATTTTATTTACTTAGAGACACACACACAAAAAAAAGGCAGTTTTTCAGCGCAGTCATTAAAAAGCCTCCCTCACATTGCATACTAAAATACTGCTATAGATTTCAATGGTGAATCATCTAAAGAACAATGAAAAACGACTTGGCAGCACTTCCCAAACCGGCAGCACATGCAGAGTCTGCCCAGAAAAAAAAGATGGATAAGATGAATAAAGCCCAGGAACAAGGAGCCAAGATGAGCAGACTTTCACCCCCAAAAAAATATAATATATATATTAAAAAGTTATTAAATTGCTTAAATTTAGTTGAAATTAAAAAAAACAATGCTTAAGTTTTCTTAAGAAGTTGACCCCATATAAAAGGAATTGTAATTTATTTTTTAGTGTGTTATTTCAGATCCCTCCAATGTATCAAACTTTAAAGGATATTTACAGGATATATTCCTTTCAGTACGGCATTATTTTCTACATTCTTGGGATTTTAAAATGTGATGAAAAGGAATGAGCCAGGATTTGTGGCAGTATCTATCTAACGTTTCCTGGTTGCTCATTCTAGCCAATAGAAATGGTTGCTTTTACCATGAATTAATGTATCTGAATGCAATATAGAGGTAACCGGTCTAGTTGATGATTGGTTGGCTCAGCCAAACACCCCATTTAGTATTCAGCAGTGAAAGTGATCTGTACGTATAGATATTGATGAAGTGTTGTTTTTGTTTTTTTTTACCAGGAGATCATGGTGCTTGCAGATTCCATCCTACGCAAAATGAAAGGTTAAGGTACCAGTGTGCATTCTTACTTTAAATATTATAGACTATATTACCCACAATTCTCTACCAACTAATTATACGCAATGTTTACAGACTAGTAATAGTCCCGACACAGTTCATCCATCGTACCAGACTTTTTTTCTACAGGGAAATAGGTTTTGTTTGCGTAAAATAATGTTTTCCGACACCTGTGTACTTTTTAAATTACTAATCCTATGGGCTTCCCTACCTGTAGTTTAGCTATAAAGTTCTGTCAGAGTTACAATTTGGTTCCAGGACAAAAGGGCATGCTTTTTATTATTATATTTAAATAAATCACTATCAGCGTTATTCACGAAGGGGTAAATTGTTAGTAATTCAAGATGAAATTCACATTTTAGGCTAAAATAGCTGAATTAGAAACATTGATCATCTAAAATTGGGTTTTCTGTCTAAATCAGGATTCCTTAATAAAGGTGTCATACTTGTAAGACAATGAAAATAGAGCGCATGATTTTTATCTGGAGAGGGAAGACGTTTGCAGTTTAGAAAAATACAGAAGGAATAGTGGATACCATGAAGTCTTCCCTTTACAGTAGTAAAAGCCAACACAGGTGTTAAATAATACTTGGGGTGTGAAGTATAAAGAATTCATCTGAAATGGGCAAACCTGGGAACTTTTAAGGGGGACACCAAAATCCCAGCCCCACACAAATAGATTTTGGATAAGGGAAACTGTATCACTATCAGCGTTATTCACGAAGGGGTAAATTGTTAGTAATTCAAGATGAAATTCACATTTTAGGCTAAAATAGCTGAATTAGAAACATTGATCATCTAAAATTGGGTTTTCTGTCTAAATCAGGATTCCTTAATAAAGGTGTCATACTTGTAAGACAATGAAAATAGAGCGCATGATTTTTATCTGGAGAGGGAAGACGTTTGCAGTTTAGAAAAATACAGAAGGAATAGTGGATACCATGAAGTCTTCCCTTTACAGTAGTAAAAGCCAACACAGGTGTTAAATAATACTTGGGGTGTGAAGTATAAAGAATTCATCTGAAATGGGCAAACCTGGGAACTTTTAAGGGGGACACCAAAATCCCAGCCCCACACAAATAGATTTTGGATAAGGGAAACTGTATACAAACCTGTTGATTCTGTTGTTGTTTTCTATATTGTCTAAATGTTACTACCAAACATCCACTTTCACAAAACACAACAGGTGAAATAAATAGTAATGAAAGGCACTAAATACTGGATTAACCAAATCTTGTACTTTCTCATCAGGTTAACCTTGATTCTGGAAGATTCCATGTCTGCCACAGAATACGAGGTGTACACCAGCTTACTACATCCAAGTGGCTTCCACTGTAGCTAAGTTGGTAATATTGGGAGCGGAGAATACACCGCTGATAATAGGGGTTGGAGATGGGTAATTTTGATACTAAGGATAAGTAACCAAATCAGTTTCTCTCAGGGGTTGTCCTGTATAGCCAATCTTTTAACTCGATGGATGGCACTGTGGTCAGTGTGTTGTGTGCTTAAGCTGTGTTTTCGGAAGGTCCTGCGTGACCGCACCAGATTTTATTGCACTATGTATGTTTTCATTCCATTATCACTAGATTATCTACTATCGAATGGTAAAGGAGTCTGTTATTCCCAGTCGTTCATGTTACCCAGTCTAAGGACGACAGTCTCTTTTCTTTGATGTCTATTAATGTATGTCTATATGCAGGTAACTGCTTTTATTTGGTATCACGAGAGACCTGCGTGTCTCCATATACCAACGCCTGAGTTTTAGATCCTGCGTGACCTATACTGCTTTTACTGTACATTATTCAAAAGTTTCTTCAATAACAGTATATTTACAAAAAAAAAAAAAATACGAGGTGCAGAAAAATGTACATTAAAAATACTTCATTTTACTGTTTCAAATTAAAACCTTCAAATACAAAACCCCAGAGTTAGCATTTTTTTTTCAAATCATGTTTATATTGGGCAGATGAAGCATATTCAACAGAAATAGGGAAAATTGCAAACACATATTTAATATGTAACATAATTGCGATTGCTCACAGCACTCAAGGAGAGACATGCCTGACGTGCCGTTAAACACCGGTAATTGTTGCCTTTTCATAGGATTGACAATTCTACACATTACTGAAGGCAGCTGAGATACCAGGCTGTTTTATTAATCAAAATATACAACAAACAGGAGACATTTAAAACGCCACAAATAAAAGCTACTTTTACATGTTGGTTTCAAGGCGATTCCTACATAACAAATCTTCTCTAAAGCCTTCCAAGGGTAAAGCCAGTCTATGGCCTTATGGAAGATCAGATAAAACCATCTCACACTGGGAATATGGGAGCAGTTAAGAGACAGACTGTTTAAATGCCATCTGACATTCCTGAACGTTGATAGTAATTACTACAGCAGAATAAACAACTCAGCACAATATCCTATTTAAGCGTCTGTCCGCTATGGAAATTGTACAGGTAAACGTATTACATTTTACAATCTAGCCTCAAACATAAAATTTACTCAGAAACCATACGTTCATTTTTCTAAAGCAGACATTGTGTTTTCTTTTACCACTTATTAAATACAAATTATAACGGAGCCTTTTGTGTCACAAGATTTTCAATACATTTTTTTTTTTTTTTTGCGGTTTTTTTTGTTCTCAATGTGTTGGCAATTCCAATAGCCTTTGAAAGTGAAATGTCTGTCTGTCAGTCCTCAATTAAAACAAACCATCAGCTTTTGGGTTTTATGGAATTCTCATATATCTAACATGGCAGTCCAGTACTGTCCAATGTGAAATAATAAAGAAAGACCTTTAACAATAAGCCACGTCGGTGCTTGAACGAAAGAAATTATTCTTCCTCAATCATAAAACTATTTTTAGAAGACGAGCGTTGATGGTCACTTTGCCGGTGCCTCCTGGTGTTTCTGCGCTTCAGGCTTTGCACGGGAATGTTTTGCTTTAATCTCTGCTTCCCAATGTTTTTTCTCCAATGTGTATAACCGCATGGCTGCCTGTGCATCCTGAATCTGCAAAAACAAAACAATCAACATTTAAACAATAGGAGTTTCTCAAGTTAGTCCTCAGAAAGGTCCCAGTGGCTTATCTACGACTGATCAACTTGGGCACATCAAAAAGAGGATCACAAAGAACGCACAGAGATGTTGCTGGGTATAGTGGTATAGAAATAAATGTGACTGACTCAAATCTCACCAACAGAGCAGCACTTCACAACTAAAACAGAACGAACGATCAAGCTTCGCTTTCCCAAAATGCAGGAAAGACTTGAAATTCATGTTTGTGCCAATATGCACATTTCAAAGTGGACAGCTACATAAATAAATGTACATTTTTCAAATGCACGTCTACATTGTTCAATTTGTATTTTGTTCCCCTCCTGGCTCCAGGAGACATCTGGGGTGGAAATTCAGGCTTGAAACTAGTAGTTTAAGCTGTTTTAACACTTTTTCCCTCGAAGCCCACAAGATATGTGGCCGGTCAGTGCTGCTGTCAGGCTCTGCCCTCCTTTGCACACATTTTTGCCAACCACCAGAATGTGTTGAGAAATAAAAGTTTTATATGACTGGGATTGCTGGTTGTGATCAGAAAGATACTATATGCTAGAGGCAGAGGTGGTTGTGGTTTGATCAATGCTGAATTACCCCAGTTTCAAATGCAGACAGTGGGATGAACACATTGCTTCTGGGTATGAAACTTACCGAGCAATGTTCCTTGGTCTGTACCTTCACACTCAGTATTTTTTCGCACAGTAATTTAAGAGAAGGACGTCCACTCTGTAAAAGGAGATTGTTAGAAGTATATTGACCTAGCTTGTTGAAAACTTTGTACACTGTGGCTGAAGACATATTGGGTTCTAATACGAATATCTGGGATTCTGCTCAATCATACAGAGCCCTGAACGAGTACAAAATAATTTTAAGGCACGGAAAGCTCAGCGAACTAGATCAGTGATAGCTGACACTGGCACAACAGTTGTTTGTCTTAAAAAAATATTACATTGGCTAAAGAGCTCTCTACCAATTGGTTCATAGACTGAGGCCCACCCATTGTTCATGACGTAAAAAGGATGCATTTATGGATGATGGCAGAAGGGTATTTGAGACACTCCTACATCATGGCTTCAGATTTTTTATTTAAAATTTAAAAAAAATTAATTTCTACTTTCAAACTAATGTCACGGTTATAAGTGTAAGTCCTGTTTCTGCTTAAAATGATTTCAGTCCCCTGTCTAATTTTAGCCCGCTGTACATCATTACAATGAAATCACAGATACATTACCTGCACTCTCTTTTTGAAGGGTTTGTATTTTTGAGTGTCTCGGATAGCCTTTTTAGGATGGTCTAAGAAGAGTATCTGAAAACAAAGAAGAAGCAAGAAAATAATTTCATTATTGTCTGAAAATGTGTTACATACTGTAACCAGATCAGCGGGTATTGGATAAGAAAAGGTCATAAGGCTACATAACATGGTGATTTCACGTGCATAAACAACAAGCAAATGTTTGTTTTGAAGATAAGCTCCTTAAAGGGACACTATAGTCACCATAACTACAGCTTAATGTAGTTGTTCTGGTTAGTATAATACTTCCCTTCCGGCATTTTTCATGTAAACAGTGCCGTTCAGCATCCCCACGTTCTTCATGGAGACGCTGAATTTGGATGGGATTGGCTAAAAATAGTCTATTTTGATGATGTCACAAAAGGGGCAGAGTCAGTGGCAGCAGACCTGCACGGCGCTGGAAATAAGGAGAGTTTTAAACATTTATAGGGGGACAGGCAAGCCACCTAAATGGTGGGTTTTCACTATAGGGTCAGGAATACATGTTTGTGTTCCTGACCCTACAGTGATCCTTTAAAGTATACCTGTCATGGTAAACACATAGAATTAATTTATGTGGAATAACATTTAATCAATTTAACAGATATTCATGACAAATGCATGGATTTTAATTAAGCCCTTCATTACCAAGCGGTTTGCAG